TCTGCCTCCATTACCTGGCGGTGATGAACCTCGCGCGCGTGAAGCGCACGGAGGCAGGGCTCACGAAGTTGTCCACCGCCGTGGGCACTTATGTACTGCTGCGGGGCTACTTCCTCGACTTCCTCTGCAACATGATCCACATGAGCCTGCTGCTGCGCGAGTGGCCGCAAATCCCATGGGGCGAATTCTTCCAGGGGCTGGTCGCAGTGCGCTCCTTTGCCGACTTCAAGAGCTGGGTGAAGGTCACGCTCAAGTATGAATGGATCGTGACGGCCCGCCTTACGCGCCACATCGACGGGCCTATTGGCCGAAATAGAGATTACTGCCTGTACCTCCGGACCGAGTTCCTGGACGGGTTTGACACGCGCCGGCCCGACGGCATCCACCGATAGAAAGACCGGTCAATGAGCACCCTCCCACCCAACACCACGACCAGCACGCGGGTCACGATTGATTACAGCGTCCCGTTGTGGGGCGTCCTGACTGTGCTCGGGGCTGGCCTGCTGCTGCTTGTCGGCATGTACTTCAACGGGCTGGCCACAAACAAGGCAGTGGAAGAGCTGCAGATTCTGGTCAAGAGCGGCAATGCGTCAGTTGCTGCTCTCAACAGCGAAGTCAACCTTCTGAAATTCCGCGTTGACACCATCGACAGCACGATCAAAGGCCTGCAGGCGAACGACCGCAAGTAAGGGACACCCATGCAAGCACAAGCCTACAACCGCACCAAGAATTTTCTTGAAAACGCCAGTTCGGCGACGGACCACGGCGCGATCAACAGCGAACTCGACGCCGTCGCGGTATCCGTCAACGAGCTGCGCACCAATGCGGCGCTGCTGCAGAACGATGACGGCTCACTAAAAAACGGCACGGTCAACACCAGCTCTCTGACCTCCGAGGCTCTCGCCGCGCTGCAGGTCCCAGGCCCGAACGGACCGACCGGACCCGCCGGGCCTACTGGCCCTCAAGGCGTCCCAGGCGTCAAGGGCGACACCGGCGCGTCCTTTGATGCCGATGTGCGCGACCTCTTTGCAAATCGCGCTCTCTACAACCTGCAGCCCAAGGGCTACAGCTTTCTCGCGCTCGACACCGGGAACCTTTATTTCAAGCTCTCGGCTACCTCCGGCGACTGGTCAACGGCAAAGACCTTTGGCAAGGGCGACAAGGGGGACAAGGGCGATACCGGCAATCAGGGCATCCAAGGCATTCAGGGCCTGCAAGGCATTCAAGGCATCCAGGGTGCGACGGGCGCCGCCGGAACTGATGGCGACGACGGTGTAGTTGTGACCGTGGATACCGCCACCAAGACGGCCAGCCTCATAGGTCGAACGCAGGTTTCGGCCCGGCTGATTCTGGTCGGCAGCCAGTTGAGCATTGAACTGACCACCACATAAGGCAGACCATGACCGGACTATCCGCACGCAACAGAACCTTGGGCGAACTGATGTCCGAGCTGCGCGCGCGCCTCGGCTTTCAATCCCAAGGCTCCGCAGCCAAGGCCAACGACCCAATCATCAAGAGCTTCCTGACGGAATCCCATGAATACGTTTTTGGCGAGCTGGAGCCGCCTGTCCAACGCAAGAAAGCCGTCATCAGCACGCAGGCGGGGTCATACCGCTACGACTGGCACAACGACGCAGACGACGAAGACATCAACCCTGGCCGCGTCCTGTCGGTCTACACCAAGGTAGGCAGCACAGAAGCCCAGCAGATGACGCAGGGCATCAGCGCCCATGATCGCGCTGATGGTGAACAGCGGGAGCAGCCGCGCAAATATGACACCTTGAATGGACAGATGGAAATTTGGCCCATTCCGGATCAGGTCTACGACATGACGGTGGAATACATCGCCGAGCGCGCGCGCTTCACGCAGACCGCCGACCGCTGCAGTGTGCCGGACCGGCTGGTATTCCTCTATGCGCTGGCGACCGCCAAGGCCCACTACCGCCACCCGGACGCGCAGGCTTCCGCGACCGCGTTTCAGAACATGCTTTCGCGCGAGAAAAGCCGCCAGCGCGAGAACCGCCGATATTTTGTGAATGGCAGCCCTGCCGGCGCAGCAACCCCGCAGGTTGTCCGCACGGATAGCGGCTACAAACTGAGCACGTCGTGAGCAAGATCACCTTTGACCGCTTCGACCTGGGCATTGACTTGCGCAAAGGGGCGAGCGTTTCCGACGCCAACCGCTTGCGCCAGATGAAAAACGCTTTTGTCACCACGGGCCTGGCTACCGAAAAGCGCCCGGGGCTGGTCAAGGTTGCGGACCTCGAGCCCGGCACCAAGGGGCTCTTCGCAGCTTTCGGCAAGCTCCAGACCTTCTACGGTGACGGCAGCATCACGCACGCGAACCCGCTTTTTAATGCCAACAAGGTGGTTTATTCAGGCGGTGCGCAGGCGGTGAAGGATGTTCACTTTGCCGATGTCTTCAATGCCTACATTTATGTGTCGGTCGAGTATGCAGCCGGACAGATCGAGCATCACTATCTGGATGGCACCCCAGCGACGCACATTGCCGACGCCAACTGCCCAGACACAAAGGCCTGCATCAAGCTGGCCAGCAAGATATTTGCCGTCGGCGCCGGTATCGGTGACACGGTGCGCTACTGCAAGACCAGCGCGCCGCGCGATTGGACGCTGGCAGGCGATGCGGGCTTTCTGCCTACGGGCCTGAACAGTCGCGGTGACCGGTCTGCCAATGCGCTGGGCAGCTACCAAAGCAAATTGGTGGTCCTGACCAAAGACGGTGCTCAGGTGTGGGTTGTTGACCCGGACCCCACGAACATGAAGCTCGACACCGCCGTGGAAAACGTCGGGACCAGCTTCCCGCGCACAGTCGCAAGCGTGGCGGGCGACCTCCATTTCCTTTCGGACTATGGCTTTCGCTCAATCACAACCCTACAGTTGACCAGCAACCTGGCTGACGTGGACGTGGGCTCGCCGATTGATTCCCTTGTGAGGCCGGAGACAAAGGTTCCCGGAGTCGCGCCGAAGTCCTTTTACTTCTACGGCACCGGCCAGTACATCTGCGCGATCGCGAACCGGCTTTTTGTGTATTCCATTTCCCGGACCGCCAAGATTGCCGCCTGGAGCGAGTACTTCCTGAGCGTGCCTGTCGATGCCTTTGCAGAGCTGGGCCAGACCCTCTACATCCGCTCCGGAGACGCCGTCTACAA